TTTTCTGGCAACTAATATGTGGCCGCTCACGCACCGAGCGATCACAACCAGGGCCAAAAAGAGCTCTAAAGTGTAAGCGCTTTAAAGGCACATGTTCTCCTCCGGACATGCAATCGATTCGCTTCACGCTTCACAAGGGTTAGATGCCGAAGAGTTTGGAAATTGGGATGATTTTGTTGGGAAGTGTACGACGCAAAAGGGGGGGGGGGGGGGCGATACAGCAACAAAATTTACTGGTGCCTGTGTTTGGCAATAATGAAGATTTTAATTTATGTTAGGCAATAATAAATGATGGAGCAATTCCTACTGTATTGCCCAATATATTTGAACACTTTACTAACATCGGCCGTCATTTTGGTAGAAATAAGCACCAACTAGCCGACCCATGGTACGACGGTCCTCTTGCTGGAGGTGCTTTCGAGAACTGTGTAGTTGTTGATAATACGTGTTGGAAGGAGTATTACGGTCTATTTGATGCACGTGCCAATGGTGTGAGCTCGATTCCTCTCCCTTGTCTAAGGAAACAGCAGGCAAGGGAAAAAATAAATTGGTGTATCTGCCGGAAATGTATTGTAATCAAAAGGAGCAATCGCATGAAAGCTAGATATTGCAATACCCAATTGGAGTGGGATCTGCAATACTCAACTGGGGCACTGATATACAGAAGTCGTTGCTATCCTCATTCACCAGCGCGTGCCAACGAACTCCATCATCTCACGGTGGGACTAACCCGTGTAGAACTACTCATCCAGAGGAGGAGAAAACCCTAGCAGTGTCTCGAGGCATTTGCTGTCCATGTATACTGCAAAATACTGGCTGAAGTAATTGCCGCGATATGGTATGCCGCAATGCTCTGCCAACGATACACCTGCTACATTTAGCCGTGCAAAAGAAACGATAAAACCTCGAAGAAAAAAATATCTAGAAGTAGAGCGAGGTGAGCTTGACATGTGAAGTGAAGTATTGGGCAATTTTAAATTGCAATTCCCAATTGCATGAGCCTCACGGATTGCAATACTCATTTGCACTCGTAAAGCTAAATGCGTAATCCAATAAATCGATGCATATTGATTTTTTTTCCCTTGCCTGTGAGGGAGTAAATAAAATAAAAAGTAATCAACAAGTAAAAACGTTGAAATAATGTAAGTCGCCACTGGCGACTCAGTTACTGCAATAACTATACATTTTGTTTTTACACTTTAGAGACGTAAGCGATTCTCCACTCGAATGTCAACACACCTGAAAGCGGTACGTACCGTTCTGCAACGTTATTGGCATCGAAATTCCCCTTTTTCACCGTTTCCTTATTACCAAGTTCTCGATTGGACGCTACAATGCTAATATCTCTGCAACAAGACTCGCAAGTTGGCAGTAAGAAGTTACTACACACTGCCGTGTATCTTCGCCGTGGTCACGAGGTCACCTAGCTATCTGCAATTATTATGGCATTCTGGGACTCACCCCAAGGGGGGGGGGTTCAGATCGAAGTGAAGAATAGACAAAAGACTACGTTGTTGCGGCGACACCTTCACAAGAAGATTCTAACGTGGTCGGCAAGTTTAGTCTCTGTGGTGCAGAGAAGCCTGTCTGGGGATCAAATTTGTATTGGTGCTTGCGCGTTTTCGAGCTCGTAGACTACATTTGGACAGCACGAGATCAACATTGGCACTTCATTATGGCACGTGCAATCCCAAAGGCTCCGCGAGAGCCGGTCTTTCGCAGAGCTTAGCAAGCTGGTGTCCGCATTGATGAGGCCACAAAAAATTCTGGTTTAAGAGTGACATTTGCGGTGAGAAGAACCGACGGTCAACCCGAGCCTACAATATTAAAGTCATGCGTGAATGACAATTTGGGTTTTCTTCATGTAATCGATATGGACGGCGATTCCAAGAAAACATAACCGATCGATGATCAATAGGCTTCATACACGCTTACTTGCTCACTTACCGCAACTCGATAACCTGCTTGTTGGTCATTTCCAGATTACCAGTTTACCCGCAGAATAAGACTAAAGCCGTGGCCATGGTCTTCCATCAAGTTCAAGCCGTAAACAAAGCGCACGAGAAGTTCTGAAATATTGAGCATGGCCTCTAATAGATAGATGATCTAAGTAGCTTGCGCCGATTATTGTAGATTGAAAAACTAAACAGATCACTTTCCTGTATCGTCGCCCTCTTGATTAAATACGTCTGTCATAGCCTTGAATGCAATAATTCACTGAATTTATAACCATCTCAAAACTTTTTGACCACTATGCAACTTTTAGAATTCTGCTCACGTTAATGATCTGCTTCTGCGAACTATTTTGCTAGGAGGTGTTGTAGTGACAGGTGCAGGAAATGCGCCGACAAAGGAAGTCTTAGCTGTCTAAACTTATGCGTTTATTTCATAACTTCTTCAAGTGAAGCACGATTTGTTGAACCCTAATGGTGCCTCAAGAATTGCATATTCGGGTGCCTCAAATCCGTGTTTTTAAGCATACAAACATGGATGCATTGCCCAGAATATGAAGGATATCTATGCACCATCTTCACAGTTAACATTTCAGTTCATGTCGACTACCGACAGGACTGAATATTCCTAGGAAGATCTAGACAGGGCTCTGCCTCCATTCTGCTTAGGATTTTTTTTCTTACTTTCAATTGAGTTGAGAAAACGTAAGATGCAATCGCCGACGTTATGGGAAAGACTTTTGATTGGATAAAAAGAGTTATTTTAACGCTGAGTCGTGCACTAGAAAGTTTACTCTTCATCACGCACTGACGAGTTCCCTGTAGCACAGGTACTATTGCTGTGACGCGTGCGCCGCTTCCGGCGCCTAAGTGGCCGCCCACATATGTCATCCGGACTTCTCTGCTCCTGGCCGCCTTCCCTGATGAGTCTTAGTTCTGTGGTGAGCTTGATTTGGGCATTTCTCCGTTTTCGTTTGCTTGGCTTTAACTCCAGTGTGTTGTACCCAATCTTAAACAGCTCGATGGCATGAACTTCGTCACGGATGGCCGGCATCGGTTTTCTAAGGTCTTTTTCAATCCCGTTTATGATATGCCGCATCATAACTGACCACTCTGACAGTGTTGCTTTCTTTTGTGGCGTGTCCAGATCGTCCGATGGTATACCCTTGTATGGTGGATAGTTAAGCTCCGGATTGCCGAACTACCACAGTATCGACGCCCCCAGCGGATCGATACTTGGAAAGGCGAAGTCTTTTGGAAGCACGTGAAATTTCCCACCCCATGTATGATAATAGCGAGTTTGTGCTGTCGATAAAGTTGATAAGGCTGCTGGTTTCTCTTTTTGAAGCCCAACCTCTTCTAATAACGCTCTTATTTCTTCATGCAAAAGGTCCCTCGTTATATTACCCGCTGCCACACCTTTCTTTTCCAATATCGCTTCCATTCTTTGCTCAAGTTTATCAGGAAGTAAGTCGATAGACTGCTGCTGCTTATCAAGTTTTTTGTAGAGCTCAATGTAGGGCGGAATACCTGTCGGGTGCATCCAGCTCGAATCCCCAAGTTGAAGTTGTTCTTGTAGGCTGTGAAAAACGTTCACATTCGTAAATACTATTGTCGAGAGCAAAGGGTGGTTTGTTGGCATATTTTGCTGTAAATACTCCCTGTGAAAAACCAGCGACGCCAGACATAACTGTAAAATGCCATTTAAATTAGGTTCATCCGCAAGACTCGGAAAAACCGTTCTCAACACTGATGTTGTTGTGCTATCACCGGTGGCCTTAAAATGTGGCGGTAGTGTAGCAAATTTTGAATCGTTTATAGACAGCCCAGCAACGACGCGACCTAAAAATTGGTCTCCTGCTGCTTCGTAGCGGAAATAGCGATCCTGAACTCCACCAAGTGACCAACCACAGCGTAAACAAACACTCACAATTGAAGGACCACCAGTACTTCCACCGCACGCAAATGTCGCGACACCTTTTCGTACCGAGTGAGTACCATAGGTTTTTGCGGAACCATCGAGTTTTAGAAGACTACCCAAAGCCTTACTAAATCGAAGCTTCTGGTTGGACCCTGGGAATAGTGGCCCCTGTTGCAATCTCGGGTGGCACGCCAAGTA